TTTAAAATCGGTCAGGAATTAGCCGATGGAGTCAAAAGGAGAGTTATATATCTTGTCAATACCTACGCGTGGATATAAAGAACGTCAAAAATGGAGCTCGTATGCGAAAGTTGTGAATTTTTTTAAGATTGACTGTTTTATCTGCGTCCAACACCATGTGTTAGCACCAGGCGAAGCCTTGGTGTCCACGCAAGTTCACTACGTGCATGTAAGTTTCACGATGTGCATCGCCCCCAACAATCTATAAATAGAGGCGCAAATCATCAATTTTCTTCACACCTTCACTCTTCTTTCTCTCTCAATACTCCAAAACTCTCCCTCCCCTTCCCTAGCACTTCCTAAGTGTTAGAGACGAGTCCCGAAATGCCAGAAGGCACCGAGAAGAAGAGCTTTCGGCTCAGAAGTTTTGCCCCTGCAGAGCCCGGTTCCTAGCCAAACCCACGGTAAGTGAGATATGCTTACCCTACTCTAAGTATAGCTTATGTTTAAGTTTATTATTGTTATTATGAACTTATAAACAATATATATTATAAAATATAATATACAAAGTGTTATTATAATATCTTTTAACTACTCGCGGTACGGGGAATCTGGTTTGAAGGGCTGCATAGGGTTGTTAGATTCCAAAAGTGTTATAATGCCAAAATGGTCCTGCCCTCTGGTGTTTCATGTCTGGCCCCTGTCTCTATATATAGTGGTTGAAAAGTATTATTTAACGCTCATAAAACAATATCGCTCATAAATAGTCGCTATAAATATTAGACTAAAATCTAGCGGTAATGGTACTAGGTTTCACCGAAGGAAAATAGAATTGTTAGAAGCGAAACGTTGCCCCAGTTTGGAATCATCACTTTAACAAGTGATTGCATAGTTATTTTCATCTTACACATAGATATGAAGTATTTAATATAAATTATGTGCTATGTGTGCATATTCTCTGTGTTCTTGATATCTATGCTGGAGGGACAAAATATACATGTTTTATTTGATTTAAATTGTATATGTATTTTATACCTATAAAAATATTGGGTAAAGATGGATAGATGAATGATGAGAGATGAAAGATGAAATATATGAACATTGGTAGCTATGGACTTAGTGCCTGATAGATAAACCCTGGCAGCTATGAACTTAGTGCCAAATAGATAAACCTCAACAGCTATGGACTTAGTGCCTTACAAATGAACATTGGCAGCTATGTACTTAATATCTTACAAATGAAAGTTGGTAGCTATGGATTTAGTGCCCTATAGATGGACATTGGCAGCTATGGACTTAGTGCCTAACAGATAACATTTGCATCAATGGACTTAGTGCCTGTTGGATTAACCTTGGCAGTGATGGACTTCGTGCTTATTCCTTAGCACAATCCTTAAGAATGAATGAGTGAATGTAGATGATTCTTGGGGTAGATCCTTAAGAAATAAAGAAGAAAATGGGGTTTGGTAATTGGGTTAATTGTTTGCTGATGAAACATAATAACTTTATTATTGTGGGTTGAACACCCTATGTACTCACCAGGTTTCCTAACCTGACCCACTCAATTTATTTGTATCACAGATGTCGATACGAAGCTACCTTACACTAAGAGATTAAAAAAGATGTAGATCACTGGTGTAAATGAATGTAAGGTCTGTTTATGATTATGTTTCTATATTGGCGATGAAATTCCAACGTTTTAATATAAACAAAATAGATTTCTTCGGAAATGCTTTGATAACATATTTATCATGTTTTACTGGGAACAAATTCCTCAATATTATTCTTTAAAAAGGATACTCTGATTTTCAAATAAGCATAAATAATTTTTTTTAAATGACCATGAATTTGGGGATGTCACATGAAGCTTGGAAGCTTGAAGCACGCTTGGATCTAGGAGTTTTGCATCCTTCTCCATCATTAGAAGGTATAAAGTTCATACCTTGATTACTTATTTGTTAGTTCTCATTCTTGGGTGTTTTTATGTTACTTTTTGGTCCTAAAAGTCTCATCTCGTGCATGGTTTGTTCTTTTCGATCTAAGTTGTTCTTTCAGACCCTAGGAGGGGTCCTAAGCCATAAAAATGAGGTCCCATTTGTTAGTTTTTCTCCATGTATCTTGTAGAAGGTCTTAATAGATTAAGACCTTGTGTTAAGCACTTTTTGGACTTGTAAATTCATAAATTTGGAAGCTTTATGACTCTAGAGTGCATTTGGACCTTAGATATGAAATATGGACTTAAGTGCTTAAGCCATTAAGCACTTACTGGAGTTTGGAAGCTGTGAGGGTACGCCCCGCATACATGGGAGTACACCCCTCGTACTCGGTTAATCACCCTGATGAGTAGTCAACTGCGAGGCTTCACATACGCTATGCGTACCTCCGGAGTACGCCCCGTATACTCGCACTGGTCAACCTTGTTGAGTTTACTTGGTTGGGTTGACTCAGTTGACTTAGTGGGTTTGATAAGTTGATGTTGACCAAGTTTGACCTTGAGGGTATTTTGGGATTTTGATGGAATTGGTAATTTGGTGGAAATAGGTGTCGGTTAGAGAGTTGAGATTCGGAGTCGGACCTCATCAGTTCTGTTCAGTTTGCGATGAGTTTTCCTCATTGTACTTTCGGGTCGAAGGCACCAAGGCTGGCCCCTTTTGATTGTTATCCTGGTTTATCACATGATTGTATGATGTAGTGATCTGTTAGATCTGTATACTGGTATATAGGATGATGTTATGCTTAATGATCTATTAGATCTGTATGGCCGTATGTATATGCTAGATAGGGTTTAATATGGTATATGTTGATATGTGATGGTGTGTTGGGTTGAGGTAGTCCTGCTGTGTGCTGAAGGCCGAGAGACCCAAGACGTCCCGGATAGACTGTAGGCCGAGGGGCGTACCAGTCAGGCCGAAGGCCCGGAGGATGTTCCAGATAGGCTGAAGGCCAGTGAGGCGTACCAATTATGCTAAAGGTCCTGTGAGCGTACCAGATAGACTGTAGGCCGGTGGGGCTTTCCAGTCAGACTGAAGGCTCTGTATGCATGTTGTATGGTTGATGTTGTTATTTGATTATGTGTTGTGTTGGTACTTTGGGGGAACTCATTAAGCGTTGGCTTACAGTTTTGGGTTATGTTTCATGTACTTCAGAGGATCGCGGAAAGGCGAAGGCGTGACCTTACACATCCTCATGTTTGAACTTATGATTTCGGAAAACTCTGATATAGAACATGTTTTGAAAACTATTTTGTAAACAATTTGTGATTTTGGGTTAGTTTTTAAAAGTTTAAAATTTTCATTTCATTTATGGATGTTACAAATGTTTCCACCAAAAATAAAACCATAATTACATAATTTAAAATAAAAATATATTATTGTTTTTTTTACACCTGACAATAATTATATTTAAAAATGTAATTACTGAGTAAATATTTTATGATATTGTGTATTGCGACGGAGTTTTGCTGTTTTTTATATGTTTCTATCGATGACGTATAGTTTTTATTTTAAAGATAGTCTTTCAATTTATTTCGTTTTCCTTCGGTCTTTAAATTATATAAGAAAGGTGATTAAAGTTCTTTTGAAAATGTATTTAGTAACATTTTTCCACAAGTATAACTGATAATCATTATGTTGGTAATGAAACATGTGAGAGAAGGACAAGTTGATAATGGTCCACAAGTTTGTGCTGAAGGTTGATGATGGGGGCTGCTCCTTGTCATTCCATCCAATTTTACATGTACCTCTATTACAACATTCCATCCCGACTTACATGTATCGCATTTCAGCTCCTCTTAGGTAGGATGTAGCTTCATCTTTTTCTTATATATACACCCTTGACACACATAAAAAAAGATCCCAAGTGCCATCTCTTACAGGGGCGGATCCAAGGGGATCCCGGGGTAGCCAAGGATACCCCTCAATTTTTTTTCGGTAGTGTATTTTTTGTTTACGTATCCCTTAATTTTTTTTCCCGGTATAGTGTATATATACGCATCCCTTCACTTTTAGAAACAAACAAACAACTGGTCTACTGGTTAAGGCGTTGGCTTATTAAAGCAAAGGTCTCAAGTTTGATTCATGCTCCTTACATATCCTTTGTTTACTTTTGTTTTATTTTCCCAACTATTCTATCCTACATCGCCAAACACATGTAAAATCAATCATTTTTGTCTATTATATAAACATGTTATCCTCATGCTTCATTTGATATCTAATTTGAGTCTCACATCGATTCAGGTATCAAAATATACTTTAACTTCATGTTTATATAACAAGACTTGAGGTTATTTAAGAAATCAATTAAGGTTGGGTTTAAAACCGAAACCGAACCGGGGAAACCCAAGTACCCTGTAAAAAAATTTGGGTTACCTTAAAAAAAATTGGGGATACCCCTTTACTTTGATCCTGGTTCCGCCACTGATCTCTTACTATATCATATATACTCATAAGTGGTTCTTTACTATTTGGAGGTGCCGATTCCATCGTAACAATCTAATGGGAGCATTGAAGGTCGCTCACATGCCACATGTCATCGGGTGACTTTACGGTTCTCATTTTATGAGTGGTACATGTGTTTCACAAGGAACCGATCGATGACATTCGGATTCCACTTCCTAGATCTAGACCCCATATGCTCGATGGCGATTTCAGATAGCATCACCCACAATAGTTGCTAACAAAGTATTATAACTTGTGTGGTACATATACAATTTTAGCGCAAAACATAATTTTTAAATTGGTAAATTATCATTTTAAATAATTTTTAAGGTTAATATAGCCCTAAGCTTACATGGAGACCATATAATTTGTCTCCAACGTTGTCGTATATTTTGGGATGTTCTAAGACCTAACCATGTGTCATGCATTTTGCGAGTTTTGTAAGGATATTCCATTTTTAGAGGAAATATTTGTGAAGCAGGCTACCTAACATAGAGGGACTGAAATCGTTAATTTCCAAAATGAAAGGGCTGTAAATAAAATTACAAAAATCCGAAGTGAAAGAGTAGAAATAGAGAAGAGGAAGGGAGTACTCCACAGTGACGGAGTTTACTTGGAAATCTGCATAGATGGACTTCACTTCGCTTATCAGCTCCTTCATTCCCTCATGGACTTCTGTACGTGAGTAATTGACATTGAGATTCGATCCATTTTCTACTCTGATATGAGCGGATATATTGAAATTGTATGTGGGCTTCGCCATAGGCCATTCAACACCGGCATAACTCTCTTCTACTGTTGTAGATTTTGAGTTTCTGGTGTTCAATTAAACCAAGGAAAGAGTTTAATTTTTTTCCTCCTTGCCCTTCTGATTTGGGGCACTACATTGTAATAGAATATCATATTCGGAAACATTAGAAAGAAATATATGTGTCATGATTTGAAGAACACTAACCGCTTGTTTTATTAGGTTGGTTTATTATTGGGATTCTTTAGTTACTTGGGCATTGCTGGATCTATTCTACCTGGAAAGCTTATTCCTGGAGCGAATCTATCTGATGGAACTCGATTTCATTATCGCTGTAATGGTAATTTCTTGCCCTAATTGAAACTTTACAAGTAGACGAATTTTGGATCTATGTAATGTACAGTTGATTCCTTAAGAAATGACATATAATTGAAAAATGTAATCAAAATCAAAGTTCTATCACAAAAGCTGATATGGATGTTGCCTGATTAAGTGCAATTTTTCTTAAAAGTACCTTTTGCATCTAATTTTCAGGCAATTATTTTACACTCTGGTAAATTTCTGCTTTCAGGAATGCTATCACTTCTTTTGTTGGTTGGACTACTTATCATTGGAGCTTGGATGGATCATGTATCACTCACTGTATGTGCTCCCTGAAACTGTATAACAAAGTCATCATATGGAAACTAAGCAAATCATTATATCACCAAAAGCATATCTCTGCATAATTCAATCCAAATCTGCTTCATACCTTTCTTTAGAAAGATTTTTGTTGACCCTTATATATGTTTTTCCTTCAAAAGTTTTTTAATATACTCCAAAAATAAGCATGACTTGGTCAGATTCCTATGATGTGATATCCATTTTAGGTTTAAATAATGTGTTTAGATCTGCAGATCTTTCTACATCCAAACATATATCTGACATATGAATTTTTACAGGCAATATCAGACCGAGGGCTTGAGCTCTTATCAACAACTTTTATCTTCAGTGTTATTGTAAGTTCTCATTAGAGTTTTTAACTTACATTGATTGACCTATTTAATATCATTGGATTATGGTAAAATGGTAAAATGAACTCCTATATGCACAAAATCTACCTAAGTGTTTAGTTCATAGTATGCTTAAATATCTTTAGTTCTGTAGTGGAACTGGTTTTTGACTTTTTATTTCTCATGAATACCCTTGTGACCACATTTGTTGTCACTTACATAAATCGAAAATGTTGATAATGCTATTAAACCAATACTAGTAGTTGCACCTTGTTTTGGGTGTAAAATTTTTGACTAATTCTTTTATAATACTTTGCTCTTTTCTCTGTTTGTTTTATAAAATATAACTTTAACCATTTTCCTGGCTACCCTTTTAAATTTTAGGTCACATTGTTACTTTATGTTGCTGGATGCAAATCTAAAGATCAAAGTGCATCTCTAAAGCCTCACATCACTGGAAACATACTTGATGACTGGTAAGTTGAAGGGGCATTATAGTCCAATAAGATGTTGTTTCTTTTTGACTTAATGGACTTAATGGGACGCAACTTAATCCAGTAAGCTATATATTCATGTTTCTTTTTTGACTTAATGCAGACTCATTTGTTTTTTCTTTTTTTTCCTACAATGGCATCATACAGGTGGTTTGGGATACAGTTGAATCCAAGCTTCATGGGTGTTGACCTCAAGTATGTAATCACCATAACTAATGATTCAACTTATTTTCAAGATCCAGATTTATGATATTTCCAAAGTATTATTTAGGGCTCAAAAACACTTGTCTTTTGTAGATTTTTCTTTGTAAGAGCTGGAATGATGGGATGGCTTCTCATTAATTTTTCTGTTCTTGCAAAATCTATCCAAGATGCTAACTTGAGCCAATCAATGATCCTCTACCAGCTTTTTTGTGTGGTAACTAGGTCTCAGTTATCATTTTTATGATATTATTTTTCTAAAATAATATAATCTTGATTCCTTTTTTTGTTTACCCTTTCAGATATACATCATGGATTACTTCTTTTATGAGGAATACATGACATCTACGTAAGTTTTTCTCCTAATGAAAATCAAAGAAACCAATTAGTTATTTTGTTTTTGTCATATATTCACATGATTCTTTTAGTATTAGATGTAATAATCATTTTTGTTTTTTAATATTTCATTTTTTAGATGGGATATAATTGCAGAGAGGCTAGGATTCATGCTAGTATTTGGAGATCTAGTATGGATTCCCTTCACATTTAGCATTCAGGTATAACATATTTCAAGATTTCCTAAACTAATAATTAAAAAACACTATGCTAATAATCATTTTTCCCCCTTTCAATCCTCATATAAATTGCAAACAATACAAAAGATGATAATTGCATTAAATTAAACAAATTTGGTTTTTGTGATTAGGGTTGGTGGCTTTTGAGTAATAAGGTGGAGCTAACAACAGCTGCAATGATTGCAAATTGCTTTGTGTTTGTGATTGGGTAATCATTTTCCAAGATGAAAATTTGTTTTAATTACCCTCACCCCTACCCCTACCCCTACCCCTACCCTGCCCCTAACCCTACTATTTCATATGCTAAATTTGCAATTTGGTTAAAATGTTTTTGTAGGTATCTGGTTTTTAGAGGAGCTAATAAGCAAAAACATGACTTTAAGAAGAATCCAAAAGCATTGATATGGGGTAGGCCTCCAAAAGTTGTTGGAGGGAAATTGCTGGTTTCTGGTTATTGGTAATTTTCTTTCTAAATCTGTTTAAATAATATTTGAGAAATGAGTAAATGAGGGCAAATTCGTAAAAAGTTGGGGCTTAAATGCTTAATGAGGCACGTTTCATTTCCATTGTTTTCTGTATTAAGTCTTGATGAAGTCAAAAATAAGCTTACAAGATTAACGCCCTCCTCGTTTTCATCATCAAAAAGACGTTAATACCCTCATCTTTGAAAATACCCCTACAGAGATTGTTTGCAGTTTGAATTGATCCAGAAAAATGCTTGAAGAAATTTCTTGGACTTTTATGAAATAATGCTTCATTTTTATGTGCTTTCAATTTCATCAGCATTTTAGTTTCTAATTACTATTTGTTTCATTCCTACTACCTTTTTAAATGCACAATAATCATGTTTTTTTTTTTTTAATTATTTATTTATGAAGGGGAATAGCAAGGCACTGCAATTACCTTGGAGATCTGTTATTGGCACTATCCTTCAGCTTACCCTGTGGGATCAGGTAAATTTGCAACTATTTAAATTTATTTCTTTATTATAGCTTTCTGCTTAAATTTATTTGTTTTGACTTGAAAAGTCAACTACTGTATATGATATTATAAATTTATAATATGAACCATGTGATTGCAGTTCTCCAGTTCCATATTTTTATCCAATTTATCTTCTGATTCTGCTGATCTGGCGAGAGAGAAGAGACGAATCCAGATGTGCACAGAAATACAAAGAGGTCTGGGCAGAATATCGCAAGGCTGTCCCATGGAGGATTCTACCATATGTTTACTAGGTTAATCCAGTTACAGAAAGTCAACCTTAATTGTTGGAAAGTCAACCTCGCTTGTCGGAAAGTCAACCCCGATTGGGACCTTTGATATATATATATATATATATATATATATATATATATATATATATATATATATATATATATATATATATATATATATAAAAGTTAAGAGTTGGGATGGTCAGCTATTTTGATTTGAAGGGTGTGTATGGTACAAGTAGTGTTCTTGCAAGGAAGAAAGACTTTTGTGGCTAAGTGTTTGATGCAACGGAATTTGAGGTTTTATTTCTCATTTGCAATTTGTATGGTTTGTCCATTTTAGTGGCTAAAGACCTTGTAGTTTGTTTCGTATTATGGAAAATGTAACGTTTAATTTACTACTTTTTTAACTAAAATGTTTGATTATTTTATAAAGATTTGAGGAAAAAAAGACATCTATAAACCTTTATATTCTTTCAATAACATATTTGGATAAAGGAACTTGTTAATCATATTTTATACTACCACAATACCTTCTTGTATTAATTATATTATACAACATTATTAAAGGCATTAAAACATCTTGATTATTGCATAGAGCCTGGCACCAGATATTCTAATTTAAAAAGCTAAATATTATGAGAACCATATATTATATGGGTTAATTTTTTTTCTAAAGGCTAAATATCAATGTCAAAATATTTAAAAACTTTGAATTTATAAGAAAATAAGAAAAATAATGAATTATTATAATAGAAATATTATTTATATTTTAAATTTAAACATATAATTTAAATAAATAAAAGATACTAATGAGCTTTAATTTTAAGAATTTTGAAATTAAAAGATAAGTTAATTAATGAAATTAATATCAATTTATTACTACATTTATTTTATTTATTACATTAAAATATTATGTGAAATTTAATAAAATAGAAAAAACTAATACAATGACATGTGGAAAAAAAAAATTCAAAATAACCACAAAATAACATTTGACAAATTGAATGAGAGTGTGACAAGTGGCAAAAAATATTCATTTACTAGCCACAAAGTCAATAAAACGAATTTTGGAATTACGAATCACCTTTTTAAATTTTTAGCTTTTCTAAAAATCCAAAAATTCAATTTAGAAAGCAATCTCAAACACCCTCTAAATACACCATATTAAAACCATGGTCAAAACCTCTAAAATAAAAATCAAACTAAAAAAATATTAATAATGTAATAATCATGAAGGGTGTTTAACGAATGACAAGTTTATGATTGCCTCGACAATTTCTAAAATCATTTTCATTTTTTTGTTTAAAATAATTATTGTTTATATTATTTGATTTGATTGTAGTGAGATTCATTTACACTCTATTGAAATGAAGCTAATGTCATTTATAGTAAAATGTAAGCTAACTAAACCATAAATGTAAATATAGTTATATTATTTATTTTAGTGGAGTTCATATACACTATTTATAGTAAATGTAACACCGTAAATTTCAAAACAATTTTTCATTTTTAAAGATATAATTTCATTCATAAATATTCTCAAATCTCAATGTATCACATCTCAATTCCATAAAAACACATCCCAAGATCAAATGTGTAAAGGTCGAATCTTGCTACACATAAAAACACAGGTCGCGAATCGCGGGGCAACCCGACTCGACTCGTCGAGTCCACTTATGGACTCGGCGAGTTCCTCCCATGACATCACTCATCTGACCTCCTGAGGTCAGATCTGCTTTTCTAATCTATAGATCTGACTTCCCCATGACCAATAAACACGTAAAGGTCGAATCTTGCTACACATGCAATGCTCCCAAGGCTTCTTTTGGTGAAATCCCTTCTAACATGGCAACCTATGTCCATTTCCTCCTTAGAACCACAAAAAGCAGCATGGTTCAGGCTCTCTGGACCTCAAAAGGTCCAGATCTAGAGTTTAGCACTCAATGGGACACTATACACAACTAAACAAGCCATAAAAGGGTATAGAAAACCCTAAATTCAATGCCCTTAAGCAAAACAGGAGGATAGGATCGAATAGCTACCTCAAACTTGAAGATCCAAGCTGAAACCCCACTGAAATGCAATCCTCTTGACCTCCCCTTGCTGGAAACACTTTCTCCTTTGCAAAATCACACCAAAAATGATCAAAAAGGCTCAAACTCTCTCACAACTCGCTCACAATCGCTAGGGTATCTCTCTCTGGACTGGTAGCCGCAAATGGAGGCCATAAATGCCTTTAAATAGGGCTCAGACCCTGAGATTTAGGGTTTCATTTTACAGCGCGGACTCGCCGAGTCCACGAATCGACTCGTCGAGTCCTTCATTAAATCAGACAAGAATTCGCGATCCTACTCGGCGAGTCTGAGCGCCTACTCGCCGAGTCCCTCCCTAAAACTCAAGATAAATACTTAAAATAAGATACCTGGAAATCCGGATGTTACAGTAAAATTTAGTGTAACTTAAACGACCATAAATGTAAATATATTATATTATTTAGTTATATTATTTTGATTTGATCCTAGAAAAATTCATTTACACCCACTCAAATTAAATTTCAAATTAAATTTAAGCTATTTATAATAAAATGTAGGATAACTTAAAGGATCATAAATATAAATATAGCTATATTATTTTGATTTGATTCGTAAATATAATTATATTTTAATTTTATTATAAAGCCTTATATATATATATATATATATATATATATATATATATATATATATACTAGCAGGATACCCGCGCGATGCAGCAGTAGAAAATAGATTTTTTAACGATTAGTTTTCTTTCGGCATGGTGTTTTGAGAATAGTTTCTTTGCTGCAAGTAGTCTACTTTTAGCAGGCGACATATAATTCTTTTCGAGAAATAGTTTATTTTCGAAGATTAGTTTCCTTTTATGAAATGTGTCTCGACTTGTTGTATAGGTCGGTATAATAATCTAAAAACCAAAACAACACTGATTTAAATGAACCATTCTTAAAATAGGTGATGCGGTTGCTAATTTTTGTCAACCGAATAAATATGGTTCGGTTTCGGATATTATTCGGAAAACAAACCATTGTCCAAGGGACTGCACCTCCACAGATGCTATCAAAAATGATTTTTCTCACTCTCTACTGCTATTTTGGAGTAGCCTAATCTGTAACAAAGCATCAGACCAAAAAGGGGAGCTCTGGCTTCTGCAAATGTGTTGGTACCTGGGCCATAAAAGGTAAAAAAAGCAACCAAAGCGGAGCCCTTATAGTCCCTAATAATGCCACCACCTGCTGTCATGCCATTCCTTGAAGAACCATCTATGTTCAACTTCAAAATACCAAAAGGAGGAGGAGCCCATTTGATCCATTTTCCTTTAGGAATCTTAGACCATTAACTGAACTGAACCATTTCAATATTCATCATTTCTTACCCTCGCGATGCGGCAGCGCCATATAGTTTCGTTCGACACGGTTTTTCGATATACAAAAAGAAGTACATTAAAAAACACATAATAGTAAGCAAAAACATAATTCCATTCAAATATGTATATGAATAATGTTTGTATGCAAGTATATTTTATATATCACGTCATATTCTAAAAGAGAAAGTTGTCAAAGTTCTGCTATTCCATCAAAATGTATTATTTTGATCATCATGAATTCATGCGATCTCGAAAAAGTGCCAAAAAGAACATATTAATTTAAGGAATTGGTCATTAAACATGTAAATGAATACAAAAATGGAAATGTACTTTCATTTATTTTTTATTATATAATCTTACTTCAAAAGTATAATGTTATAATTGTATGTGTGGTGTCATTTCAGTTAATAGCAATTGCCATTCTTTAGGTTGACTATTATAAAAATACCCCAATTGTGATTCTTTAGGTTGACTATTACAAAAATACCCCTGGTTAAATAACAGATGAATTTATAAATAACATCTCACTTTTGAATTTTTTGACGTTTTTGGATATAACTTTCAAAGTAAAATGGTTTAATACGAAATAATTAAATAAGTTTCCAAAAAAGAATAAATTTAACACATGCTATATTGGGCAAAGAAATGAAAGTAAATTGCCATTTAATGTATTTAATGCACTTGATCACTCAGTAATGTTTAAAAATTTTCGTAACAATATACAATTGAAAGTAGATGTTAAATAATGACTGTCATAACTCATAACATTCATATATGTCAGTAGAATGCTACAAAATAAATAAATGACATTTAAATGAAAGAAAATTCCATAAAAATGACATTAAAAAGAAGTAAATTACTATAAATGTTATAGAGGTGATTTTGCTTCTTCGATCCGATCTAAAAGAAATAAATGACTATAAAAGGTGAGCAAATTGCAATAAATGATGTTAAAATGAATATAAGATGCAATATATGACATTAAAATAGGCGACAAATCTGAAAATATAATGGAAAACTATTTTTTGAAAGGGAGCTGATAATTCCACATCCAATTTCTATCCTTCCACTTAATATAAATACATTTTTACTTTTATGCCCCTTTGGAAACAAAAACCCTCATCTCCTCTTATTTTGATTTTACCGCTTATTCTATTTTTGAATTTTATACATTTTATTTGGAAACTCATGATTTCCATCGTGACCTTAATTTGTTTTATTTTTGCTTTATTTTTATTATTTGTTTTTTTCATTTTTATTTTATTATATGTTATTAAAATAAATAATAATAATAATAATAATAATAATATTTAATATTTGAAAAATTAGATAAAAAATTTATATAATGTGACACCAACATCATATAAAGGTATTAATATCTTTATTTGTTTATCAAGTATCATATACAAGCTAAAAAGAATAATTTTTTTATTAGTGTTGTAATCTAAACAAATATCACGGTCACAAGTAAAATAATAGTCATAGATCGCGATTTGAAATAATAGTTCTCGTTTTGCATTAGTTTAAACATTTTTGTCACATGCATTGTTTTGGAATATTTTTGGCGGACAACATCTTACCTCAGTAGGATGAATGCATCATTATCGCCATTATTACATCGCAAGAACTGTTGTTTCAAGTTGAGGCCCCTGACTGTCCCTTTCGACCATGATGCTGAGGATGATCGTGATAGCTGTTTAGATTTACACCATTAATAAAAAAACAAAATTAATTTCTTTTTAACTTATGGTATGACACTTAGTAAATCAAATAAAGATATTTAACCGATTCCAATAATAATACGTCCATACGGTGTTGGTATCACATCTGATTATTTATCTATTTTTTGCTTCAAATATTTATTATTATTATTATTATTATTATTATTATACTTTATTTTAATAACATATAATAAAAGTAAGATTGACTAAATAATAAAAATAAAACCAATTAGATATCACGTTAGGAAATCATAGGTTGTCAAATAAATTGTATAAAAATCAAATTAGAGACGGTGGCAAAAATCAAAATAAAGGGCGATGATGGTTATTTTTTACAAAGGGCATAAAAGGGAAATGGTATTTACATTATGTGGATGAATAAAAATTATAAGTGGAGTTATCACCTCCCTTTTTGAAAGTATAATGCTATAAAACTGTTAATTTTAGATTTTGTTATAAACCTGAAGACCTTACTTTGTAGTAATAGACGATAAAAATTACAAAATCATTGTTCAAAAGTACATTGATATTAAAATTGTCATTTTTGAGTCATATGCAAATTATACTACATCGTAGCTAAATATATTAGATTACACCATATTGTAGTCAAATATAAATCTTAATGCTAGATTAAGATCTTGATATAGAAAATTAAAAAAATCAGAATATATTATTGCAAAAGGTAAAAAAAAACTATTACAAATTCGACCATGTACACTTTTTTGAAGTTCTAGTCGCTCAATAGCATCTTTAGTTAGACTTGATCGCTAATTCTTGACTCTATCTTTACAAGTTTGAGCTTTTTAGCTTTGATTCAACAAATCTTTCCCAAACATTAAAAATATTCAGGATGCCTGCAACATCAAAAACAAATATGCATTGTGAGAATAAAGTATGCGAAATGGATAAAGGGATCTTCAAGTGAAGTTCCAAACCAAATCACATATTTGAAACAACTTCCTTTTATTTTTTTATAACTTTCAAAAATACTGATAATATTGTTTAATGAATTGTTCTTCATGAAAATATTTTCAAAGATAATATTAGGATAAAAAATAATTTTCTTTTAGCACATAAAGATGGGAAATCTTCAAACAAACAAAAGGAACTTCCAATGTAAAATATTCCTTAAAAAACCTAATCATAAAATTTCTCAAATAAAGTTTGTACATATTGCTTTCTCTTAAAAATGAAATCCTTCCAACAATGTCGCAAGTCAACCACAACATGTTATCAATATTTGTTCATTTGCCTCTTACGCCATCTTCTAGATGTATCTGACAAGAAAGAAACGTTAATAGGCATGTCAATGGTGACAATAAAACAAATAACAAACAAAATCGGAAACGTTGCACCTCCATAATAATGTATCTAGTAAAAAAGATTTCAAATAACAGTATAACAAAAATATTTTACGGTTGATAGAAAAGGAAATGGAAGATTGAGAGGTAAGAGTTGAAAACTTAACTTTATATGAGACATTTTGTCAAACACTGGGGTGCGTGTTCCACTGACCCATAAGAAAAATTGATAGATTGTATGAAACCTGGAAAAAGAAATACCAAATCTAAGGTTTGTATACCTAGAAAATAACCAAAGGCAAAAAACTCGATGAACATACTTGAGAAATACAACAAATCCCAGAATAAAATGATGTAGAGGGAGGTCGGTAGATCATGGTAACGCAATAATGGCCCTGTCGTGCGATGGTGGTCCTATAAATCAATGATGTTCTGTTGGAGGTATGGTGGTGGCGATGGTGATCGAAGTAGGATATAGATCGAGAGACGGAAAATTGAAGGGGATAAAAGCATAGGAGGCGGGCATGGATTCTTTTAAACTTAAGGAAAATGAAGGGTCTGGACACATTGGACTGGAGAACCCAAAGACATACATCAGAGAAGCAAACAATGTATCAAGATGATTCTTTCGACAACGAATAAGAAGGACCATACATTGCCAAAGTTTCTCAAAGCATTAAAGAGTTGTACAACAGCAGTTTGTGGTCGAAGAGGTACATAACAAATATGGGAGGAATCGTTGAGAGGATCGAATGATGACAAAGGTAACATCAAAGGCGGGTGTCGATTTTTAAAAAAATCGTTGAGGGCGCTGGTGGTTTTATGTTTATGATTAGGGTTGAGAGGAATACACGGATAAACTATGAGAGAAAAAAGTGGCGGCCGATGAAAATCGACATTGAGCTTAGGGTTTTATGGAGCGGCTTTGCTTCATTTTGATTGGTCATTTTTAGTTCAGATAGATCGTAATTTTATCCCATTAGATGTATTTTATGTAAAATTAAGGATCAAGATTCAAGCTCCTTAGTTTTAAGACTTTGGTCTTAAAACTTTTAAACTTCCCATTATGTATACTTTATATAGTATATATATATATATATATAGATATATATATATATATATATATATATATATATATATATAATATATATATCTATATATAATATATCATTATTATATAAAAAAACCTTTTTTTTCTCAGGCCATTTAAAGAAATTTCACCTTGTTCATCGTATGCCACGTCTACCTATATCCCAAAAGACGCAATGGACATTAACATCTTTTATGAACTTTTCCCACCGTCTGCCAATCCAACCGCCACCGGTTAGGCGATTACCACCGTCTCCTTCAACAAGCACCGTTCCCCTTTCTCCCCTCCTTTTCTTCTTCGTTATCTCTCAAAAAAGGACCTCAAAACGCTGGATTTCAATTTTAGATGCGTAAACCTAATCCATCAGTTACAATCGTCTCCTTGATACAACTAATCTCCCGTCCGAAGGGAAATATTAGTCTCTTTTTGAATTGGAGATGCAGATAACATTTTTTTGGCGACCGAATGCTGGGTATTTTCAATTTCACTATTTGTAAGTGAAATGCCTTTGCTTTAATTATTTTATGTTCGGTTAATACTGTTAAAAAACTTAATTTTCGCTTAATGGGATTTCATATCCTAATCTCTAATTCTCTATTTTCTTCAATGTGGAAAAGGATTTGGAATCTTTTTTTGTTTTAAATTCACGTTGATTTCAGAAATTTTTGTGTGATTGGCGCGAGTGTGGGGGCTATCGACCAGTTTCAGTTTATTTGATTATCGCCCACACCATTCCCCAAGAGATTAAATAATCATTTGGAATACCAGTTTTGTGGGATTTTCTCTGGTTTTAAGATTGTATATTAAAATGATAAATGAGAAAACTAAAATCCCAAGAATCTCAAACACTATATGAGTATAGGACTCGATGAATGGTGTTCAAAATTGCAATCTTGAATTCCTGATTGTGTCAATTGGGCTTTCTTCAGACCCATAATTTTTTCTTCATTTGAACACATGTTTAGAAGGTACTTATCTTATTTATTGTTAATATATTTGATGCAACCTTTTCTTATTTGTTAGATGATAAAATATTTGTTAGATGATAAAATTGTTTTGTAATTAGCTGCATCGAGTTCCAATCTATGAATTGTTTTTTTTTGGTTTGGATGGGCTTTTTGGTCGAGAGTTTGGCTCCTTTTCATTAACTTCACATTCTTGGCTGATAATTTCCTCCTGTTGGTCGCATTATATTAGGGTTTCTGAATCAAGTCCAACTATGAGACATTCCTTTGAGGATAATGACTAATAAGATCAGTTATTGGGCTCCATGCTAAATTCACCCAGGTTACTAACATTACCCTACATGCTGGTACCCATGTATATCTTGTCATAAATTATTTTACTTATCCAACCTTCATACTATTTATCTTACTAATCTTTATTATTATTCCTGAAAAGAGAATTTAGATAACCATTTAAATATAATCTTATAAGAAATTCAAGCCAATTAACGGCTAATAACATTTTTTCTTGAATTCAGATACTTTTATATAAGATTTTTTTTTATTGCTGAGGTTAGATATTTATTTAATAAACTGAAATGACCGTATGTGATTTTGTTTTTTTCTTGGTTCTTGAATAAAAAGTATAACTTACAACATAATTTTCTGTCTGTAGGCCCTAGCAAGTAAGGAAATTAAGAAATATACTAGGAACTAACATCAGGTTTGGATGAAGATTCAGACAACATTTGCTTGAGAAGCCTAACATTTCAGATAAAGTTAAAGAACATGTGATATTTGTATTCCCTTCAACATCATTTACACTTATGAAGTTACAAAAGATACATAGCTAATAGCTTATTATGGTGTCATCCAGGTTGCACTTGGTCAGCCTCAATTCAGAAGAGCCAAATGAACAAATGATGCCCAAGCTGTCCAAAATTTACCCTTGGATTTCTTTGAAATTTCATGAAATACTTTGTCCATGGTTCTTTAACGATGTTAATTATACATTATTTTCGGATAGTGAAATGTGTGGGATTAAAAGGTATCTAATTATATTAAACTGTTCATCGAAGAGATTAGATGATGTTGGTTATGGTGACTTTAAGATGATAATTACTTCTTTTAAATTTTCTTGTGATATGATGGATGTTTTCAGCTTGATTGAATATAGTTTGACATCATTAAACCCACCCTTGTTTCCACCTATTATCTTTGTGAAGTATGTGGTCTAACTAATATATTGTTACTGTGCATCCCAGTTCTTGTCAGGCAGTTGGATGAGCAACGGTCGTTTATGACCAGTTTGACGTCTAGAACTAATATGATTGCATATTTCACTAAAAACAACTTTTTTTTTCTTTCATAAATTTGGAAAAAGGTGAATCATCATTGCATTAAAAAAAAACATTCAACCCACCAAAAAGTGTTTTTGTGGCCAATGTTACCCAGATTTGAAATTTCAAGTTTTGTGGTTAATTTTAATTCATATTAGACTAGAATCATTCAGGTTATATATTATATTAAGCCAAATTTTCAAGGGAAATGGAATTTTAGGCGACTATGTTGATTTTATTTTAACATCATCCGAGAATGAATCTTGGTAGTTTTGAAGCAGTTGCTTACTATTTGTCTTTTTTATTCTAAGTTTAGTGATCAATTTTACTCGGTGTCTGTAAGTATGGAATTGTGTTTAGTCATAGGTTGGTACCCATTGATATCCACAGGACAAAAATTGCAGTTTTTGTCCCACCCTTGTTTTTCATCACCTTTGTGGCCTACTATTTTGATTGTTAATTTTCATCTTTGAAGCACCATTGCTTCCTGGTGAACCAAATCATGGAGATGAGGCAATAGACACAAACGAGGAGGAACTGCTACCAATTGTTGAACACAAACAGAAGACA